CATGCAAATGCTTTTTGATCAACTTCTATTAAATATCATTTGGCATTGGACAAAGTAGAATTCATAAAATGTTGATGGAAGTCGTCTGTCAATACGGTGGACCCAGAATTGTGTTTACCATTTTTTGGAATTATCATTCTAGTGGTTTGTGGTCTGAACGAAATGACAAGATGAAATATCCTTCTATTTTGTACCACTTGTCCTCATTAAAACGGCAAGTATGTGTGTGTTCGTCGCCAGTGGACAAACTATCGGCTGCAAACTGCAGTTGTTTGTTTACATTCAAACTCAGCTCCTAGCAAATGAGCGTGACGTCATGCACGCTGTGAACGTGAGAGGACAAATTCTGAATCCTGGCCATAGACAGAACAAGAAGACCCCAAAAAAACAAAACAAAAAAAAAAACAATACGTAATTGAAAATTGAAAATAATCTAGAAACACACAGGAAGACAATGCAGAAAGTGGTAACTCATCTGTATCCCTTTTGGGCACCAGCCTCATAAAAAAAAAAAAACAACAATAATTAAATGCATATTTATGAAAATACTAAGGTCGAGGGTCGGTATTTCTCCTTGATGATATTGCACAGCTCCAATGTCTAGTAGACCAAGGGTACGAAAGTGAATATTTGATAATGAAAATTTATGGGAAAAAAAAAAAAAGAACCATTTTCATCAACGAAATAAAATAAAAACAAAAATGCTTTAAAAAAAAAAGAAAGAAAAGTAACTGAAACTACAACTTGTATTTAAAAAAAATGTTAAAAATACTCCAAATATTAAAAACGAACAAACTAACACGAAAGCTAATAAAAATGAATGAAACAAAGCATTATGGAAAACATACATACGAATAAACACTCATTAACTCTAAAAATGGATTTAAATAAATAAATAAATAGAACAAGTTAAAATGGAGTAAAAACTCATGAAAAAAAAATCCAAAACGACAAGAACCCTGGAACAGACAAGAGTTGGCGATCAAACGCACGACCCCGACAGACGCATCCCGAGCTCTCCACTACGCTCTCTTCTCTATCTTGATGCTCTTTCTGCTGATGTGAGGCGCTGGGTCAGTTGCCAACTCGACTCGAGTCTGTGCCCGCGACGGTTAATTTGACACGAAGAGACTCGTATCACGCGCGGTGACACAAAGGGAACAAGCCCCATTACTAATGCCCGTTAAGATGCTTCTTCTGCCCTCGATCAATTCCTCCATTGACACACACGCACACACGACAACATCATCGGATGTCATTCCCGCTAGTTGTTTTAGCATTCTGCCCGCGCTTGTCCGTCACAGGAAACCAAAATCCAAACATGCTACGTGTAAACAAGCTCGCCGGAGAATGGAGTGACGGCGCACAGCTTGCCGCCTTAACTCGGCGCGCCAGCAGGAATTTTACATAAGCCTTCGTGCATGATGATGCTATGTGTCAACAACGGTGGGAAGGATCGACGACAGTGTGTTCATGCATGTTGGATGATGTTGACACACATATCCATGTGATCCCTGAGGCCATTGTCTTCTTGCTATTCAGTAGATGTTGCCAAAACTTCCACAATCTCCTCGGTTTTTTGTTTTTTTTTACCCTTTCCGGGACAGCGCGGACTACAGCGGACAGCTCATCAAGTTATCATGATTGAAAATGAAAGGGTTGATATGTGGCATTGCAAGGACCGGTGTTAGGGAGTTTGTTTTTACCGTAATTTCCTCAAATGGGGAAAACAGTTTGAGACCATAAAATACCAAACAAGCCAACGAAAAAGTTATGTTTGCCATTTGCTTAGCCACCATGGAGAAATACAAGACTGGGTGGAACTAATACGTAGCTTCTTGGACAAGCGTGGACGCTAATTCGGGGCGTAAGGAAAAAAAAAAAGAATTGGGGAGAAAAGTAGGGGGGAAAAATGGAAAAGATGCATGGAATCAAGTGCATCGAGTGGAAGGGAATCGAATCGTTCCACTTTAAAATACATTGCGATACGTATCGAATTTTCTGTTATTGGAGAGACATACTGTATCTTTCAAGCAAAGGTTACATTTATAGTAGCGACAAGTTCATTCATATATATGCATGCACACACACACACACACACACACACACACATACACACTTGATCAATAAACCCGCATTTTACTTAAGATGTCACCCAGCACATTTGTAAACACTCTGATTGGCGTGCCATGACCTGTTCTCTGCAATCATCTTAATGCGGAAATACAGCGAGGTCCAATCGTGGTCTTTGGAGACAAAAACGCTCTTGTCCCGTCTGGCGAGTGCCACAGTCATGCAGCTCAGCAGTCCCCCTCCTATTAGCGCGCATGGTTTATTCATGAGGGCAAACCTGTGTGAACCTTGTCGCATTTGCATTCGGCACAATAGCTTCTCATTGTCTATCAAGGGACTTTATCCGTCCCGTTTGGTTCCTTTATCTATTTCCATTGCTCAGTCTCGCAGGAAAAAAAGGTTAGCTTGAAGATTAAGGTGGTCAAAGGGGGCCAAAACAACCTTCCGCGGGGTGAAAACAAATTGAGACCGTCTATCATCTCTGGTTAGTAAGGCGGGGTTAGGGCTTGTAATTAGCTAACGTGACCCAGAAACAATAATCTTCTTTCGGGGCTTGTGTAGTATTGTCAAACGATAACCTTGCACGTCCATTTTGTAACACAATGAGATTCTTTGTGTACTGCTAAGTGTGCTACGAAACAACTGATAAAAAAATGACAAACTGAAAAATTCACAATAGCTGCCAAAATTTACTTTTCGATTAATGTTTTGAACACTCATAACACTGTCAAAACAACAACCCCATGGAAATGTTGTCCTTTTCACTTTACATAACTTAATGTTAATGTCCCGCACTGTTTATTTTTTATTTTTTCCTCCTCAGTCCCATTCTAAATCCGTCCCCGTTGTGATGTACTAGCCTCATCCTAGCTAACGCTGAGCTGGCTTCCTTCAGGTTTGCAAAACTCCATTTTGTTTCTTGCTAGGATGGCATGAGAGGCCACGCTGGGCTTTATTGACTGACTGCTTAAGGCGGAATCTCACAGGGCGGCGAAGGTTTGCTAGTGTGTGCTCACGTAACAAATGTGGGTTTTTTTTCCCCCCGCCAGGGTTTGTTCAAGGTCGCAAAGACGTTCCATGAGATCCGGCTTAAAACGGCTGAATTTCATGCTCATAGCTGGCCAAATATTTGCATAGATGCAAGGGTCATCCAAAGAGTCCTCGCTGAAGACGATTCGCGAGGACCCGTTCTGACTCGAATCCGAAAATTCAGATTCGATGTTCGTTTTCAGCATCCAATTCATTCCAGGCCAGCGCCTATTCGTGTACATACGGTACATGTGCCATGTTTTTGCAGGCCATGCAAATACAAGGCGTCTGTCAGGAGAGTCTGAAGAACCTGCGGAGCAAGGGGGCGGGGTTTATTCGCGTACGTAAATTTAGGTGCACGTCAGCGACTCAGAAGTGTGTCACAATCTCAAGCACCATCTACATTGCCATCGCCTCACACTTCTTTTGCGTGGGGCTTATCGTTGCCTGCCTGTCTGTCTTTCTCCTGCCCGCTCGGATCATTTTCCCCATTTTGGCCATCAATTTAATTCCACCGAGGACACACAATGCATGAAGCAAAGCGTTGATGGAAATTGTATGCAAGAAATAGAATTAGTGATAGGCGAGTGAGATCGTTGTCGTGGAGTCAGGAGACTGTCATGACAACTAAAATGTCAAACTAAAATGTTGCGCTCATGTTTTTGGTGTTGCGTTGCTGTTTGTTTACTGTTAAACGGACCAAGATGAGAAAGATCCATCTCAATTACCACGCCGAGCTCAGGACCTGAACCAAAAAAAAAAAAAACGTTTCTTGTTGAATAAATAAAGCAAAGCTTTATTTCCCGAGAGCAAGGCAAACCTATTTACTGCGTCAGTCCAGGCCGAGCATGATACGCCTCTACAGAAATGGCAAAATGATTGAGGTAGAAAAGAGATGACAAGAAGGAAGAAACTGCTTTCTAGTTGACGGAGAAAAGCATCGTGGGTAAAAAACATGTTTTGATAGAGGTCAAAATATTTTTTCGGAGACGCATTGTGACAGTGCTCAACAGCATGAAAAACGGTTGCAGGGAGAATACCTGCATGTGGTGTGTTACCCACCGGCAGGGTTTAGCAACCCGTATTGGAGCCAAACCCAGGAGAGCATACGCCCGTTCAGGTGTCACAACAGTGTGCTGAATGACTGTAAAAGGTCGGTGAAATCCGACGCTCAATGTCACCATTTTGTTGTGCCTCGGTGAGAACGCGCAGAAAAAATGATGCTTGTCTCTTTGGCAAAGAGCCCCCGGCATAAAAGACCCCGGATTATAGGGTTACTTAAAAGGCAACGGGGGCGTATCGATTAGAGGCAGTGAATCAGACCTCCTCTGTACGGTGAATAATAAACTGAGTGGAAGGCAGCCAAGAGTTTGTCAGACGCAGCTTGCCAAACGGCCCATGTGCCGGGCTCATTTAGGACGCGGAGAAATGTGGCTAAGTCACATCTCCCGTCCCGCAGGAGCTGGCAAATCATGTCGTTGATCAAGAAGTGCCTCGGAGCTTCTTAACACGTTTAAATAAACGCTCCACGGCCAATTTCGCTGGCAAATGGACCGATCGCGGCGTACGTCGGCTCGTTGACGAGCCGCGCCAATGGAAGAGAGAGCAAAAGGCTCGTCGTGGATCATTCTCAGAAGGTGGCGCACTCGCTGTATGAAATCGCATCATTTGTGCTGCTCGGGGACTCGCTTGGAGGGGTCGTTATTGTTTGTTCTCCTCGGTGCTGTGGGCGTAAACACAGCGGCTTCGGGCTGTGTGGGGCAACGGGGGACAATACTTATGTTTGCGTAGAAATGATCGGAAAATTTGTGGAGCATTCCCTCTGGTCTCCTGCTTAGTTTCGACTTCATCGACAAGAAAGCCTGCCTCTAATTTGCGTCTTTTAATGTGCAACGCAGGGTGCGGGCTGGAGTTCCTGCTGGTTCTCTGCGGCCTGGAGTTTTCCTGGTCCTGCCCGCGTCACTGCATATGCTACACGGCGCCGAGCACCGTCTCCTGCCAAGCGCACAACTTCCTGACGGTTCCCGAAGGCATCCCGCCCGACAGCGAACGGATCTTCCTGCAGAACAACAAGATCCACCGACTTCTCAGAGGTCACTTCAGTTCCAACACGGTGACCCTCTGGATATACTCCAACAACATCACATACATCGAGCCATCGACCTTCCACGGCTTCGCGCTGCTGGAGGAGCTGGATTTGGGAGATAATCGCCACCTGCGCTCGCTGGCTGAAGACACGTTCCGCGGGTTGAATCGGCTCAGCGCTCTCCACCTGTACCGCTGCGGACTCAGCTCGCTTCCCAATAACATCTTCCAAGGACTAAGGAGCCTGCAGTATCTCCACTTGCAGGTAATTCCAACATCTTTCCTCATACAGTGAAACTCCTCTACAACGAAATCATGTTTGCAGCAAGAAATTTTTCACAACAGGGGTTTTTTCACTGTAGCAAATTTGATCTCAGATGTAAACACACACACACACACACACACACACACACACACACACACACACACACACAAAAACGTATTTGTACATGCACACACAAATGTATGTGTACTCTTTATTTTTATTCCAATAGTGCATAAGTATGAGCATACACTTATTTGACACTTCATATAGTCGGCGTAGAAAGAAAAAAAGGGAAAGAAATTGCGAAATTTAAGATCAGCATTCACTTTCACTTACATCATGTCTTTCATTTTGATCACTTTTACCCTCTCTTCCAGCATCAGTGCTCTTCTTGTCTTAGCTCCTTGACCTCCAAAGGTCCGTTTTGTAGCCATTTTCGCAATGCAACGTTCTTGCTGCTTCTGAAACTAACAACAAATACTTCCTGGACTACTGCGCATGTGTAAACCAGTGTGGTGGTTGCTGTTGCAGTTTCCGAATGAAGCAGTAGAGGTCGCTGTTGGATTAGAATTCGTTGTAGTGAATCTCGTGCGAGGCAAGAGCAGAGAAAAAGATTTCGTATAACGCAAAAGGGTTTTTTTTCGTTGTATGGGGGGTAGGAAAGTGGGAATGATGTTAATGCATGAAGATTTTTTTCACACGAGGGGGTATATTCGCCCATGTAGGTTTCGTTTTAGAGGAGTTTCACTGTATTCACTTTGAGTTCATTGGAAACATTTTAATTGATTCAAACATAGCTCGCCTCTCTAAATAATCGGTTCATCGCCAGTGCCTCGGCTTCCTTGCTCGAGGGTCAAGGCAACAGAAGCGAGGAGGCGGCATTTTACCAAGTCAGCACAACATTTCCACTCGTGTTTTAGGGCGCCGAGGCAAAAGATGTTTTCTCCGATTTTTTTTTTTTCCTCCCCGACCATCTACGAGTCATTACTATTCATCAGGCACAGCTCATTAGTTTTCTACATTTTGCATGAGTTAAGATCAAAAGCCGATTTATTGGGGCATGCAACGGGTCAACCGTAAGCTCCCCCCCCAACCAGTTGCACATGCCCATATGGTGAGAATCTGAAAGATAACGCCTCTTAATTATTTACCAAATGGATCTTGGGTGTGCTCGGTCCCACTTAAGTCTTCAAAAAGAACATCTTTGACCATGCTGGCAAAGTAAATTTGAAGGAGCGGTTTTTGGAAAGCCTGTTTTCTGTCATACATAACTGAGCCCCTCACTTCGAGCAAATCAATTTGGAAAGAACAAGGCCACATATGACAACTGCGGTCTCTTATTCTATGTCACTGACCTCGCAAACATTCCCAGACTGTAGAAAACACGTACATGTCCATTTCGCCGTGGATTTTTGGAAGCTTAGTGTACCATTTTACCCATCGTGAAATTAACGACACTGCTTTGTCATCTCGTCTCCTCAGCAAAATCATCTGAAATTCCTGCAGGACGACACATTCGCTGACCTCCACAATCTGAGCCACCTGTTCCTCCACGGAAATCACCTGTGGAGACTCAACCAGAACACCTTTCGGGGTCTTCACGCCCTGGATCGTCTCCTTCTGCACCAAAATCAGATCGAGTGGGTTCACCACCTGGCGTTCCATGACCTCAAACGTCTCACCACCCTCTATCTGTTCAACAACTCCCTCATGCAACTGTCAGGGAACAGCCTGGACACGCTGCCCGCTCTAGAATACCTGCGTCTCAATGACAACCCCTGGTCATGTGACTGCAAGGCCCTCACGCTCTGGGAGTGGTTGAAACGTTTCAGAGGCTCAACGTCCTCTGTAGGCTGCCAGGCGCCTATGGACATGGTTGGAAAAGACCTGAAGGAACTGCACAAGGAGGACTTCTCCAACTGTTCCCCAAATTCGGAATCCAGAGCCCAGACCAACAACTTATCCGGCACAGTCAGCCCACCGTCCATGAATCGCGGCGTAGTGGCGGGCTCCGGGGGGCAGAGCAACGTGGTGAACCCCTCCAGGGCCGGCCGTCCTCGTAACTGCGCGAAGAACCGCAGTCGCGGGAGCAAAGGGAAGGGCGACAACGAGGTCCACCACACGAAGGAGGTCATGGCGGACAAGGAGGATTCCTCTCCGGACTTCTCCGATGGCGGAAAACACGATCACACGTCCCCGGACGGCACCGTCACGAGAAGAAAGCACAAGTGTGTTCCGCGGACCACTGTTCGACCCCCAAGCGGGGTTCAGCAAGCCAACAACCGGGCGACCTTATCCCGCCCCTTATTATATGTCTACGCCCTTGTGGTTGCCTTGACGACAACAAATGCTGACATTTTTCTGCGCTGATCTACGGCGGGTCTGGTCAAAGGTTACTGGAAAGAAGACGGCCCTCAACCCACTTTATTGCTCCTGGCCCCGGTGTCTTTTTGTGCGAGTGTGATTTTGTCTCAGTATTGTATAGCAACCTTAACCATTCAGATGAGCACAAGCATAAAAACGTCCGAAAGACTTGCAGGGAATCCCAGTGACAAAAGGTTCATGCAGACCAAGCGTGCACTGCCACTAAAGCCAGGTTTCATGCTCATGTGTCTTTTTGTTGTTCTGTTTCAGCTCTGGACCTCCAATAACCAAATATTACGCAGAGGCGGGCATATAATCGCTGCAAGTCATAAATTTGGTCTTGTCCATCGTGCGATACAATTAAACCGGAGAGTCGATGACTGATTGTGTATACGGCCTCTATCACGCTCTAATTCCTTCCTTGCTAGCAGCGGGTCCAAAAACAGAAAAAAAAATGTTCATGAACAGACCTAGGAATGTAAATATTCCCGTTACAAAATGGAATTTATAGCCACTGTTGAGTCAAGGCCATACATGGGACAGAAAATAAGCTTATTCACAGCAAGACATCGCTACAACCAACTTCACACAGTAAGCTAGCAATTACCCCCCCCGAGCCCCCAACACATGAGGCTGCCTTCTCATTTACATACACACATTCGCCACTGCCCGACTGGATGTGAAGCTGCTAATAGTGTCGGGAAGCCGTGAACTGCCATGTGATATAACCCATTCGCTTGGTTCCGTCTTCGGGTGACGAAGCCGCCAATGTGTCTGTATGTCGTGCTTTTTTTTTTTGTTTGTTTTTTTACTTTTCAAGACACAGCGTGGACTTAGCGATGAACCCATGCAGCGGGGCCAGCAGGAAAAGTCAAACAGGGCTTTGTCAGTTTGCACAGTGAACTGATGTCGAACTGAGCCCGCCAACCGACTGCTCATCGCAAACTGAGGAAGACATTTTATCCAGACTCACTTGTCATTGACATACAAGACTCGAGGGAGGAGGAAAAAATAAATAACTAAAAAAAAAAAAAAAAAATTTGTGGGCTGTGTGTGCTATTTGACCCGACTTGTGTGATTTGAGTCCAATACAAAAGAACCATTCAAAAGGAGCATGGCAAACGGGGAAAGACTTCTGCCCCTCATTCTGGGATCCATCGCGATCCAGGACAATCGCAACAGAGGTCCTAAAGGAATTCTGTGAAGCACACATTGACTGACGGACAAGTATGTGATGTGCCAGCCAACTTCTGGAGCTAATGTGCCTCCCTCTAATGGACTACGATGGTATTTGTATTGATGATGTAACAATGGAACAGATTATCGTGCTGATATCTTACATTTCCTGTCAAACTATGAGGAAAAAAAATATATATATATATATATATATATATCAGTGGCATCAATTATGACAACAGGGTTTTGGCTCCTTAAAACGGGAGCCATTTTGATTTTATCCAGCAATTTTTTTTTTTTCATGCTATATTTTCAGAACCGTCATTTGTGAATGCACAAAGTTATCATCATGCGTCCTCTCTCGTTCTATTGTTTTGCATCTGTGCGTTCATTATGTTGCCAGTGCGTTCCGCGCGGCCTCATCCCAAGACTCAGAAAAAAAATTTCTAAAGATATTAAAATCTATATCTTCTTATGTCTCACCGTGGCAGCCCGAGTCTGTTTATTGATGCTCTGATGTTTTATAGACTTGCTCGGAGATAAATCAATGTCGCTTTCGTTTTATTGCCGCTCCATTCATATATTGTTTTCCCCAGGTGAACAAGAAATTGGTCTGTCAACAAATGTGGATCTTTTTTCAGGTTCTACCCTCTATATTTTTGCTCTAGCTAGCACTCAAGCCTCCCCCCCGTGGAAATACAGCCGCAGTATGCCAAGAAATAGAATCCTCCTGTGCATCGTGTTGACACGTCTTTGCTCAAATACAAGAGGAACTCAAAGGAAGTTCATCATCTTGAGCGGAGTGAAGAAACAAAAAAGATGCTGCAGTTTGATTAAAAACCTGAAAGCACGAGTGCTATTTGGAAAATATTTTGTTTTCATGACTAAGCCTCGAGTATATTTTCTACACTTCTACGTGTTTCTGCGTTTTAAAAGACAGAATTTTGTCACGTGATGAACCGGCGCAAATGCCTGAAATTATTGAGAACACCCTCCTACTCTCAGCATCAGCACAAAACCACCAAACTCGCAACATATCAGCCAGATGTTGTCTTTGATGCAATAAGCCTTGACAAAGTTGCTGAAGAAGTCTCTGTTTTCTGGCTTCATGTATAAGCGAGCAGTTCAATAAACGGGGAAAGCAGTGAGAGCGCCCGCACGCATTTGTATTTATTTGCGAGAGCTCACGTGTGGGAGTAGCTAACAAACTTGTTAGCGCGCACGCAAACATCCATCATGCTAGTTAAAACAAAGGGGGAAACAGACACAAATTTGTGAAATGAAATGTCAAGATTATTTTCAAGTAGGACAAATAAAAAAAAATTATATATTATATATTATATATATATCACATCCTACTTTATATTTGGCCTGAACGATTTTGAAAAATCCTTTTTTTCCTCCCCTCAATATTGATATTGCGAGCTAATATGGGATTTTTTTTTTTTTTGCCAAAGTCCTCTTCCCAAGTAATTATTTATTTTAACAAAAACATAATAAATTAATACCGGTAAATAACCCAACAATCAGTGTGGAAAAATAATCACTACATGTATGATTTTTTTAAAAAATCAGCCATCCAGTAAAGCGTGATGGGATGACTGTACTCACTTTTGAATCTTTCAATCAAGTCTGTTCATGTTCAAACAAAGCGATGTGTCTGTCGTGCACATTTCAGTCCGACGACAAAGTGTTGTCCCCTGCAGGGAACCTGAGCGAAGACACTTTTGACTTGTTTGGATCGCCTCACTCTGCCGCGTGGCAAACACAACAGCTCCCCGCTGTCAATGCAGCTGTGATTTTCCTAATTACAGAGCCGCTCGCTCCATGACGTTCCCGCTCACCTACTCCACCGGCTTCCTCGGCACACGCGACGTCTCTTGTGAACTGCTGGAGGACGTAGAATCGCAGCCACACAGACATCCATGGGATAAAACACCCGAAGATTATTACCGTATTGGCCCGAATATAAGACGGCCCTGATTATAAGACGACCCCCTCTTTTTCAAGACTCAAGTTTGAAAAAAGACTTTTTGAACACCAAATAAATTTTTATACAGAAAATAATTACAGTACATCTGAAACATATGATTATAACAATATATTTGAGAGAAAAAGCATGTTATTTTGCCTCGTTCAAATCTAAAGTGCAATCACCTGCGTAAATGAATGGCTTCTGGTTTTTGAAATGTAAATTACATCATAACTTCTCCTCAGCTGCCGGTTAACCTGGCCGATCTTCAACCCACTTTTCTCCAGATTGTCATTACGTTTCTCTATTTTCTGTTATCTCTATTATTTTCTTCTCTTTTCCTTCTTACCGCTATTTTTTATTTTTCTCCTTCGTGCTACCACTATTTTTATTTTTATTCTTTGTGGCAGGGGTTCACTTTGGCCTGGGGAGTCAAGTTCAGCATTCGCTTCAATGATATCTGGCGCCATCTAGCGTCGTGAATGGGTATAATGTCTAGACCCCGAATATAAGACGACCCCCACTTTTTCAGTCTTATTTCAATGCAAAAAACACCGTCTTATATTCGGGCCAATACAGTAATCAAGTAATCGCAAATACAGTAGTGGCCTGCAACTAGGGCCTGACCCTCCCCCCATTAACCCCAAATACACAAATTGATGGCACCCCCAGAGTTTCTCATTGCAAATAACAACATGTTGAAACTGTGACGATGCTCCAAACACGTGACTATTCCAAGCCAAGCTAAATTTTGCTCCTCCACAACATTCAAAGCCTTGCTCTCAGTCGAGATGTATCACTTCACCACCCTTCCTTGACGCCAATTGCCGTACCGCTTACCGATTTAGACAGGGCTTTGGCGGCATTTCCGAAAGAGCACACTCTTTTCAGCAAATTGTTAGTACAGACTAAAAAAAAAAAAAGTAATCTTTGGCTAAAATATTAGCACCGGTGGTTGAAGGCTTCCTTTATAAGCACATCATGAAATTGTCCATTACATTTTATGGCAGACCCACTAAAATAACATCCGCTCGGACTATCGCTTTCCATTTGCTTTTTAATTGACTCACTGTCACTGCTGTGTGGTGTTTAATTAAAAGCAGGCAATTAGAAAAATGGAAAGGGAGAAAGGGAGCGAACCGGGAAGGAAGACGGAGTGACACGGTGATTAATAGCCAAGTTGAGTTCTTTATTTATTTTCAAAACACAAAATGCTTTGCGCTGACTTTTCCCAACTTAATCACAAAGTTAACATTGCCTCTTGCCCCACAAAAACACTTCTATTTACGGCAAGTGGAATCCCCCGAAGAGCAGCGGCATGCTCCATTTTGAGCGAGCAAGCCGTGGCCGCATATTAAACTCACATGAAAGCCCGAGGCCTCGACAGCACCTGCGTGGATTACAGCCTTGCTAATCCGCTGATCTCTCACCCCAAACCAGACAGATTACGCGGGGAAAAATGACTGAGAGTCACCGGCGAATGTGTCCGTCTGACAATACATCTGCTTTTAATGTACACGCTCTTGTTGTTGTTGTCAGACACAAGAAGGGCGGGCTCTTATGTGCCACCACGAGAAGATTTGCTTCCATACTGCTGCGCATTTTTCAATTTTTCTTCCTGGGCTATTTATGTCATCGCTTGTGTCACGTTATAGTCATAGTTAATTGAGTCGTTCCACCGCTTTGCTCAGCGGCGCCAGACTGCTTCGCGAAGCTCGAGACGCTAGCCGTGAGCCAAAGATGTGTTTCTGACTGACAGCGGAGCGCCACTTTCAAGTTTCTCTTGTACTCCCTTTGGATGACATTTGATGTGTCACGTCGCAAAGGGGTACTTGGAATCCTGCAATATAATCTCGGAAGATATCCTACAACACAGGTGTCAAAGGCAAGGCCCGGGGGCCAGATCTGGCCCGCCACATCATTTTATGCGTCCCGCGAAGGCAAATGGAAGCATGTCAAGTTCCATCATGCTTGCTAAAATCTGAACCCAAATTTCAAATTGTCATATGTAATCCACAATAACAGTCATTATTCTTGACTTCTGATTTTAAAACTCGTTACCCATCCATTTATTGTGCGCTGTGTATTCAATATGTGGAGGTGATTAAACATTTATATGGTTTCCCAAAATGGCCCCTCGACAAAGATGAGTTTGACACCCCTGTCCTACAATAATTAATCACAACAGAGAAACACAAGTCTCCGTGTCTTAAGGTTGTTTTTCAACAGGGCTGTCGTAATAGTTCTTCTGAGCACTCGAGGACAGCAATCGGGAAAAGTCACGACAGAAATGGCTCCACATGAACCATCGTATTTTCCGCACTATAAGGCGGCGCACCTAAAAGCATTCCATTTTTTCAAAAGACGACAGTGCGCCTTATAATCCGATGTGCCTTTGAAATGAATCCATATTCTGATTTTTTTGGATGTAGTATTTCAAATGTTCTGTAAAGCGTTTTGATACACCTGCAGCAGTTGTGAAAGTGCTGTATTCTATTCCCTTAGCGTAGCTCCATCTAGTGGATGCATAACGCAACCTCAGCCACTATTGTAGCTTCTATTCTATGTCCCTTACAATGCAGTGCGCCCGATGTATGAAAACAGTTTCAAATTTGGCCATTCATTGAAGGTGCACCCTATACTCCGAAGCGCCTAATAGTGCGAAAAATACGGTTTCCCTCTTCACGGTTCAGTGTTTTGTTTTGTTTTTCCGTTTTGAGTGTTTCTTCCGTTTATTATCTTGCCCTACAATCTTAGAGTATAAGATTGCATTCAGTCACGTCAAATAATTGAAATTCATTTTGCAAGAAAAGCCACCGAAGTTTCTCAGCCAAACTGCGAGTCGATTTGAACACCTTGAAATAGGGCCCAGTGGTTGTCACATCCTGATGGCAGCGCTAACATCCTTTGGAGGTTTGCTGTTCAGAATTCTGTAACGGGATTTGCCTATATTTTGCCTTTTCCAAGCACAGTGAACACAGCGTGCGTCCCGTCGATGATTGATGTGTGGCGGTTACTCCGTGGATTCGCTTGGCTGTCTTTTGATTACTGGATTTCACCAAACTGCCACGCTGCCTGTCTTTATTTCCCTCCTTGGCGTGCCGCACGTTGTCAGTGATGTGACCGACATCACTGCCTATCACGTTCATGCCAAGTTTGGAGTCTGGATAAATATAGCAATGCCGACCCACCTAGAACGTGTACTGCAAAACATCTGAAGGAAAGCAACCCGGTTTGAGCTTTACAGTCCCATTTTTTACACCCACCAACTCTGAACACAAATACTGTCAACTCAGATGATCAGGGCAGTGTAGAGCAGATGAGGAATCCATGAATCCTGCGGGTGTCCATGCTTCACTAAAGAGCCCAATAACGTGCATGTAGCCCACCCGCCTTCACCCATCCAATTACCGTATTTTCCGCACTATAAGGCACACCTAAAAGAATTCAATTTTCTCAAAAGCCAAGGGTACACTTTATAATCCGATGCGCCTTATATATATATATATAT